TGAAACCTACTGGAAAATGTTGGGCATAGTACCAGGTATCAGGAATGGTCACCGCCAGACATTTTTAATGGTGGGGTATACCTGCCAGACACCCCCAAATACCCCGCCCAAAAAATTGACCTAGATCATCTTGTGAGTTAACCCGATAAAACCTACTAGAAAATGTTCGGCATAGTACCAGGTATCAGAAATGAGAGGAGGACTTCCATGCCCTTGATGTTAGAGAAGAAAATGTCATGCAAGCATTAAGGGAGAAGTGTATTACATTACTATCTGATAATGATAGAGAAAATAGAGATAATGATGAGAAAGAATTTATTGAGTCATTGATTGAAGAAGGTTATAGTGTCAAGTCAATAGCTGGAAAGCTATGTGTTAGCGAACGCACGGTAATGCGCAGACTAGAGAGGTATGGTATGTCAGCACGAGGATTTACCGAAATAACCAATGATAATCTGGACAACATCATTTCAGAAGTATTCACGACTCATCTATAAGAGACAGGTGTGATACTGGTGCAGAGGGAATTATTTTGCCACTTAGCCTATTTAAATAAATGTTCCCGAAATTAATTAAGAATGATCTCCCTGACAAATGTTAAGATGTCTAATACTAGGATAACTGCATATAATGCAACTACAATAGAACATTATGGCTATATACCTTGTACCACAAATAACTTTTAAACATGCAATACAAAGCTTTTCATAGCAGATTCCAAAGGTCCAGCGATCATGAGACTTCCAACCTTGAAGAAGCTAAATATCATTCAGTTTAATTGTCTAATCACACTACAATAAGTCCTCACAACCACCAAAGCAATTGCTTTATGGAAAGGCAGGTTCAAATGGAAAAAGGCACAATAAGAAAGGCCTCCCCCCCTCACTTTTTGGCAAACAATATATAATGTCTGGAGATTTTTGTATGATCGGAAAGAAATGCAAGAAAAGGAGAAGGATAGGAAAGAGAATGTTTATCCAGTACCCGATGAGTTACATTTTCTCGCGATTCACATTGGCGGATCTGGGGGAGGGGGTTCATGGGTCCTGACCCCTCCCTTGGGCAACAAAAAAAAGGGGAAAAGAAAAGAATTCTAGACCTACCTTTTCAGAACCCGTGAGCTGGTTTTTTTTTTTTTTTTTTTGTTTA